CTGCTCGGTTGCAGGGGGTTGGCCTAACCCGAGGTCGCAGGGAATAAGGCATTACTGTCTCATTCCTGATGCGGCTGCGCACAGCAGGTGCCTTTTGAGCAGCACCGGGCTCTTTGGTTTTAAAAGTATTTCGACCGTATTGGATAATGCGCCGGCGGTCACGGTCAACCGTTGGGCGATCGGAGTGTGCGGTTTTTGGGGCCGACCTTTTCTAACCCGTCCTTCCTCGGGGGAAGACAGCATCGCTGCTTCCATAAATATGGACATGCTGGTCGCCTGGGGGAAACACCTTACTGCCTTCACACTCCTGTCGCAGAGGACGGTACGACTTTACCCCCAGACCGCCTCGTAGCACGATTACTCGTAGTACGGGGTCTCGCTGCTCCCCTTTGGCCTTCCTGGCATGGTTGCACTTTGTGGAACGAAGTTCCAGCCAGTGTAGCCCGCGGGATCGCTGCAGCACTCAAGCCCGACCACCACGTCAAGGTGGCTGCTTTAGGTCGGGAGAGAGTCTTCAGGATTGTTTATTGTTTCCGGTTATCTCGAGATGTTCATCAGACAATCGGGCGAACTACGCTGGGATGCCGCTGCAAATAATGTCTTCCAGTGCCACTGTATTTTATGGGTAAATAAAGGCTTTATGAAATCCAGACAATGGCTATCGTATTTGTGCAAGTGCAATGGGCATACCCGAGTCTTGTCTGATCCTGTATCACCTTTGTAGTCTCAGGTTTCCAACAAGAGCGTTTGTTCGTGACTACGCTTGCAACTGAGGTGTAAATGAATTCAGCTATTGGTGGGTGTGGGAAATTCGAGTAGTCTCTCGTAGCGTTGACTTAAAATAAACCTGACACTACTAGTGAGTAGTCATATTTCGAAATTATTAGGACAACCCATCTAGATCACTGGTTGCTGTGCTGTCCTCATGACAATACGGATTATAACCGAAATGCATATTAGTGCGGTAGTTACACGCATGCACACTGTATTTAAAATTTTGTGCCAGTAGTTCTTATTAGGCCTGAGCCAGACGTGAAGGACTTTTTTATTACCTTGATGATGGACCTACGGAAAGCTATGTGCTCATGATGCTACAATTGTATGTACGATTACGATTCTGAACATCTGGATTCTTCATTTCGGATAAAATGGAAAATTCTCTCCTCGGTTTACTAGTCAAACCAGAATTCCAACACATGTATGTGGATATCTGTCCCAGCCAAAATGCTCTACCTGTGTTCGTAAATTTTTCTGCTGCGTGTATGCGAAACACGGTTCTTCAAATACATCCTAACCTGACATCTAACGGTCATTTCTAGATATGAATGAGCTACTAATACCATATCAAAATATCTGTACCTCAGCTCCAGTCAAGGTGGGCAATTTCATCATGCGGAGAACAGAGCGTGGAACCCTCACATTTAAGTGAATTTTTGTTGAATACGCACGGAGGCATTGAAGAGAGTTCGAATGAGTCCTCCGTTCATAAAATAAACACTTCGCCAACGAGTTTGCTATGCGCCGTAAGCAATGTACCGCTTAGCGGGAAAGGGGGTGTATTATAAAGTACATAAGAAATGCGAAGACGATATTTGTACACAGGATAGTATTGCGGTAATCAGGTCAGTTGTGGGCGGTAAGAGAGATCAGAAGTGAACTAAAAAGTATACGTTTTGCATAAAAGATCAAACTACCTGCTCCACGATGGCCGATATCGAGTCAACGTACTGTTTCAGTTTAACTTTGGTTTCTGCTATCAGTTTTTCCTTCCTGGCAGTTTCCGACTGCATAGCATCCAGTTCCTGTAGAATAAGCGAGATAAGCTGCGAAATTAAAACGCACTTCTTGTAACAGCAAATCAGGACGTTGGGAGGAGAGGAGAAAACGCTTCTTTACAAACCATGAATCCAGGTCTCGACATGCTTCCAAAAGACTAGCCATGTGACGGTCATTTATCCCGTGCCGTGACTCTGAGGTATCCGAATCGGCGGAGGCATTGGTGGATGAGAGAACTAGGAATATATTCTGTATGGAGTAAAATGCTTTGCAAAATCACAGATAATTACATCCAACTGGTTTTCAAAGTTTGTCCAAACCTGATTATCCTCGTCCGGTGTGTCATGAGTCTCGGAGGTTTGATCCATGAAGAATCAACAATGTGCTGAAATAGCAGAAAGTGTGAAAAACTGTAGGTAAGCATACGTATAACGATCACCTCACTCAGAGAAGAACTGCCTCCAAGAGAACACACCTGGGTCCAGCGAAATTCGTCAATAGAGCAAAGAAAGACAATATGACTTCCAGAGAAGTACCGAAAACATCCAGTTAATTGGCCTACCAACTCACGAATAAAGATTATCTTCCGTTCGAACCTAGGAAGTAAGAAGCCGGTGACTAAAACTCGAAAGGGTAAAATAGGCCCGAAAGTGAGTAACTTGTAACGCTCACACTAAGTGTTACGGATGGAGGCAGGCTTTATACTATTTGCTTCAATAGCTTCACTGTAAATCTCCTCTCGGTTAAATGACACAGCGAAGTAGGCAAGCTTCGGGAGACAAGTGAGCAGTAATGAAAAAGCCGTCACCAGTGTTCCCTGTGCCAACAGCGACAGAAGGATTCAAGAGACTGTTATCATGAACCATAGTACAGAAGCCAAATTCACATTTTCGCAGGGTAGTCTTGAATGCGACTCAACCGTTACTCTAGTGAGCACACATGCTTCTTGTCACATACGGCATACTCGCAAAAGTTTCTTTCACATGAAACAGGAAGCAGAACTGTGCTCAATAAAATTATGTGATATGACGCTAGCGTTATGAGGATTAAAATGGAATCCAGGTGTTGGGTGGCAATGGGATGAAACGAAATCGAATGTGGAAGCTACCTTGGAACCATAAACGAAAGACTAAGGGAACATCATCATTGACAGCAGTACCAGGGAATACCGGTACTTTACTGTCATACGATAAAGTCAGTTTCTCAGAATGGAGCCTTAGGATGAAAAAAGGACAAAAGGATGGACATAGAAAAACCCTATCTACGCTTGAGAGACTCAGCCATACATTCGGGAGAGGAACCGACGGCGTGGATGCCACTGACATCGGTTGGCCACCTTACATTTCAGTGTCACCAACTAAGCACAGAGAGGGTGACATGAGCCCTATCGTGGAAAACAAAGGTACCACGAGCACCCGTAATATCACGCATTCCTCGGTCGTCATGTTTTGTCCGCCGTTTGCCCAGCAATCTCTCCTCCGGCCATGCGTCGGTTGAAGAGCACCCAGGGGTAGGTTAGGGCATAACTTCGCAGCAGCAATTGCCGTCACCATGGCTGGGGTCCTGGGACGGGAAAACCCAATGTTTAGTGGCTATGTCACGCAACCAATGGCCGTCCCGCATCAAAGCCACCATCTTCACTGCATAGCTCTATCACTCGAAAGAATCTCCGTCGCGTTGTTCCCATTCCCCTATTATCGGTGGATGAACTTGAAGCACCCAAAACCACTACCTTTCGGTACATGGCTTGTACCTAACAAAGACTTCCTGAATCCGAAAAAAGCACGGCAAGAGAGCTCCTCTCGGTAGGCGGTAACTTGAAATATGAAGCACAAGGCTCAGCCCCCTAACTCGCAATGCTAAATGCATTCCTTCGGTGAAGTAACTTCTGCCTTACCGAAAAACGGCTTCCTTATCATCTCACTGAGAATTTGGCGATCCCAAATACAACTCTCATCTATGGGCGTCCAAAGGCCTGAAGAAATTTGGGATCCGCCACCGGAAGCGACCCAAACTGTAGTCTGATACCCTCGTTCTTTGGGACATTTTGATGTCATCCCTGACGAAAATTGGCGAAAGCAGTTCTGGTCATTCATATTCGTGCGCTAACTTCATCTGCCGGAATTCCAATTTCTCCTTGAATCCTTAGAGGAAAGTTCAAAGACTATAAGCCATGCCACTTGAACAGATTTTCCAGCAACGCGTGGCCTCCCGCCCACCTTGGATATCGTTGGCAAACTCCAGCTCAACAGAACCCTCGCTCGGTTGTATCCGAACTCCAGCGTTTTGGAGACCTACGTGAGTTGATTTCCCCATGAATGGAGGAGGCATCAGTACAAGTAAGAAAGCTTTTGGAGAGCGTCCCATAAATCTCGAGCGTCCAGAGATGGGCGAATATTAAGAGTGTATGATATTCGCCAACTTCTGAGGCACAAGTGAGTTGAAATGAATAAACCTGTCGACATCAATGATCTCAACCTTGAAATGATGGGAAACCACGATTGTAAGTTGCCTTTATGCATGCCCCTGCCCTACTAATCGATGGAGCACGAATATATGGTCCACACAACCCCTCCCTGTAGGACGGAAAATAAGCGACGCAGAGTCTAGCTCCAATAGTGTCAAGATGATTCCCGTCATTGCCAGACTCAGCGGGCGCAGTTTCATATAACCTGGACACCACACATGGCTGCGATGGCCTCTCTGGCCAAAATCGAGACAACAAGCACTGATTGAGGATTCTACTATCGTCCTTAAACATAGCGGTCGTGAGATCATCTAGGCAAGCATCTGGGTGGCCTTAAGAGGGAAAATTTATTTGCGCATTTCCGAAGCCATCGGATTCTCCCGGTTCAATGTTCAGGGATCGGATGTGGGTTGGGAAATTGATTGAGCATTTTCGAGTGGTCAGTTCACTTGTTCTTGTAAGAGTCCGACATAGCCATTAAGGCGTTTTGCTTTTCCAGAGATAAGCAATCCATTCCATCGTGGTTTGCTCCGTTTATCAGAGGGCTCTTTGGGCTAGTTCCACAAATCGTTTTCGCACAATCTGTTTCTCACTTCCTCCCTTTCCTCAGCGTTCTGAACTCAGCGAGCTCCTCGCTCCAGGTAGATCCTGTTTATCACCTGATACTTTAACATTCGCCGATCTTTATTGTGCTCCAGACCAGAAAGAATACGTGTCCGGAACTTACAGCGTGCCAAGAGACTTGCTCGAGTTCGTGTTTAAATTCAGTTGGCTGTGCTGCTCTAACAGCGAAGCGCCTAAGCATCATCATCATCAGAGACGTCAATATCAGTGTTGACACTGGTGCTTCACTGCTTCATTTGGTTATCTTTAAAGCCCTAGAGTGAAAAGAAAAAAACAGTGGGTGAAGTAGGGGACCTAGTGCTGGCCTATGATAGGCAACGAGGTGACTACACCTCCAAGTGCTCAACTGGACAACCTGGAAGGCAACTGGCAGCAAGAACGCCACTGACATCGATCATCTGACACATCTTACCATGTCTCAAGCCAACCACGGGCGAGGTCTCTGCGACCTCATCTTAAAAGGCGTACAACTCCAACAACATCCAGTCTTCGTGATCTCTTTCACGCCTTTCTGCCAAGTCATGCTTTGTCCACCTCGTGGTTTGTACCATTCTGAATGAGACACGGAGAAAAACGCTCTTTGCAGTAAACGGTGTTTCGGCATGCGTAGTACATGGCCGAACCACTGTAGTTGATGGTTCTGGACGTCTTCCGCACAACTTAATACATGTTTTATAAACACTTCGTTACTAATCCGCTGACGCTATACAAAGCAAAAAATCTTCTGAGGCATCGATGATAAAAAAATCTGAGGACGCCACACCTCTGTCCAAACAGACCACGTCTTGCATCAATACAGCAACACAGGCATTAGTGTAGCCTGGTACATGCGACCCCCAAGAGCCAGCGATAGCCAATGCCGCCCACAAGCGGCCAAACGTGATTCGAACCTTTGAGATTCTTGCGCTGACTTCAACAGACACACTTCCGTGTGTACCGCGGTGTGTACAATTTTGCATAACCTCCAGTGACTCCTTGAATTGTAAGGGGTATGTTCGGAGACTGCACGTTCTGTAGCGTGAATGTGCACCTTGAAGTTAGTAGTGCACAGAAAGAGCCAGTAAAAAAATACCTCAGCTGTAACACCTTCCGGTGCCTAGCTGGCATGCTACCCGAAGGAAGCACGAGGGCTTGGATATAGCCAGGTTGCCCAAGCCTAGACAGGGGAAGTCGAGAGGCAGAGGTCAGGTTCGAACTGCGGAATTTCGTTCAGTAAATTCGCGCTCTAACCACTTGAGCCATCTCGCCCCGAAAGAGCCAGTGATCAGCACATAACTGCAACAAGCAGCCATTTGCTCGATTCCATATGAACAGGACCACCCAGGTAAGCTGCAACATTACGTCGGTCCACGTGCGCATTTATATCCTCGGCAAACACAACACATGAGCATTTAGCTTACCTTAGTGAAGCACTCAAAGCATAGTAAAAAGTGCTACTGAGAGTATTAGAGCTAGTTTATTGTGGGGTAAGCGGACAATGAACAGCCAAGGATAGTTGGCACGTTTACATTGCATTCCCACACAAGTTTTCAAAAAACAACACACGAACAACTACTCCAGCAGCAACCGTGAAGTTTGACGGTAGAAAACAAAACCAACACCGACAGAGCCAGTCGCAGCGAATTCTGGATCACTATAGGTGGACAATCGGAGGCGGGGGGGGGAGTTAGTTCAACAACCGCAATCCAATGTTAAATCTTTGTTCCATAGGGATATCACAAGCCATTATAAAGCGAACCCATCGAACAATCAAGGGTAGCTTGTTGCTCAGCTTGTTTCAGAGTGCGAACGATGAATTTTGCCATACAAACCAGCGTCGGATTTTGAAGAGTAAATTTCAGTAACGACAAGGGGCGGCGAACGGATGCAATCCGTACGGATGGATTCACAAATGTCGTCAGAAATGGGGAGAGAAAAAATGTGAAAAAGAAAGAAGCGAGGTGACATCAATAACCTGTTCCACTTACCTGGCCTGCTGTATGCAGTAAATAAGGCGACTCAGCCGATGGTACCATGTGACAGTTGATTATGAACTGCGATTGACGGTTGTACATGCGCTGGGACACTGTCAGCGCCCGGATCCAGAAGGCAAGACCATTAGAGCCTTCAACCGAAGCCTTTGGCTGAAAAGCCTAACAACCTGGATCGGCGGCGGTTGACGTGGTCTCTTTAAGGCAGTCTACATTCTTACGAGCAAGTAACAATCTGGTATTAGATTATCTGTGAACGTCAGGGATGAGGAAAAGACGTCCAGCTCAGTAAATACATGGGCCAATCGATATAGGTAATTTTAGATCAGTGCTTTTCGCCTCGTCACGAGGATTTCAGTGTGGTAATATTTACTCTCAGTAGGACCTTCGTCAATCGGCTTAAGAAGGTTTATTAGAGCACGCACACCCTGAACCCATGAACAGAGAAGGCGATTTCAGTCAAGCCACTATCGACCGAATAAAAGTTAATCGCTGAGGAGTCCCCGGTGCCCCTCGCTTAAACACCTCTGCAAGATGCATTCCATCTTGTCGGCTTCCTAAATAGCCCGTCTACCGAGAATTAACTGATGACCGCCCAAAATATACTCATCTAAAAACTGCCAGCACTAGTCGTGTGTGCAAGGTTCGAAAGGGTCATGACATCGATTACAACGTGAAATACTGCATGCGTGGATGGAAACACATCATGACTAGTCGGGAGGTTACCGAGACCAAAAATTCGTAGCAAAACAATGAGCCAGAGAGCAGATTTCCAAACTGTATATTGAAAACAACATACATATTTCGATCACAAGGGAGAGCAGAACAAAGATTAGGGAGTTAGGCGCTTCGGATCACGCGGAAACATGGAGGTTTTTCTTATATTGTCCAGTCCGAGGAAGAGCATGGTGACGCGCTCCAAACCTAAATTATATACGTAAAAAGTAAGAGCGATTTTAATAACCCTACTCGGTAATCGGTCTTCGCGAAAAGAGGAAACAGAATAGTTGGATAATTACATAACGAAGCCCGCAACCTCCTTGAAACATGACTAGAAGCAGAGTGAAAAGAGCGAAAAGCTGTCAAGCTGTCTTCAACGTCTGTGATACCTTAGTTCGATATTTGGGGGATAATAAAGAGATCAATAACAGGTCGACATATATGAGTCTAGAATATGCAACGCAAGGAGAAACACTTGAATATGTGGAACGTTTTACTTATCTTGGAAGCTGTATTAGGTCCGATGGTAGGATGGCAGATGAGGTCAGTGCACGAATCTCTAAGACTCGGGTCGTGTCCACTAATTGGAGACACCTATGGCATCAAAGCGGCATGCGCGCATCAGGCTACAATACTGGCTGTTTTGTTGTAAGGCTGTGAAACGTTGCTTGCTCAAGCAGCGGAACTGCGACTTCTTAGGTCGTCGAAAACCGTTGTCTCAGAACCACACTGGTGTGGGCAGGTGCCAGCTAATCCCCAAAGAGATGATTAGAAAACGGGTATCCGGTTGTGCAACGGGGACTTCAGTCGAAGAATGTGTACAGCACCAGAAGCTGTATCGGTAAGGCCATGTATTACACATGTCGAAGCATCGTTTGTCAAAGAGAGTCGATTTCAGTGTATCGCAAGCATAGAGGTGGTCGGTCTCTGATTTAGTAAAGGGGTATGAGAGATTACGAAAAGTTTGCGTTCTATCAGCGTGACTCGCCTTCCAGGATGAAGTCCGCTTGATCCTTGTCCGGTCGGAGACGCTGCAAGAGGCGGATGCTCATCGATGTCAGTGGCGTTCTTGCTCTCCGTTTCTATCTATATCGCCCGAATGACTATACGGACTTGTAGTCACCTCGGTATGATTGTGGTAGGCTAGCACCATTCGCCATTTACTCTTATTATTTTCTTTAAAGCAAGGCATTCAATTAAATTATGGTTGTACGACATTGGAGCATCAGTGACGAACACCACTGTTCTGCTGCCCATGATGATGACACAATCGGACAAGTTCAATACACTTTAGGCTTTTAAGTTCACCACCGTTGAAACTAAAGCTTCACCGTTGCACAGAGATAGAAATTTTAGTTGAAAAGTGAACAAATGCAAAAGGGTCAATCGTGGAAAATTGGCGTCGGCCTACGACGAATACTCGAGCAACTGAATTCGAAATTTACCGACCGAAGAAAACCGGTGGCATAGAGTGGGACTATAGGCATAGCAAACCCAAACAAGCACACTGTGAATAGTGTAGATTCGATCGACAAGCAAATGGCATCACCGGCAACGTCCACACTCCCCGTTCACAGTGGACACCGTTGGCCATTTGCGTTCCGTCCAGAAAATGAGAGTGGCTGTATTCTTCGCGACAGACAAGCAGAGTATGGACTCGATGTACTTGGCTTATGGTGAATACTGAAAGTGTATTGGAACGACGAAGTGCCCAGTAGTGTCCTGGGATGCTGGTAGAAGATTCTACGCCTTTTCACATTGATCCAATATTGACTGATCTGGATAAACGCTCCGCAAAGCAGATTCTGGACTGCCCAAACTCTAACTGCGAACACTCATGCTCAGAATGGCGGCTACAGCGTAGGCGATTAAAAACACGAGTTCAAACAGTTCACTGGTGACGATGTGACGATCATCAAACCATGTGCCACCATTCCTGTTCCATTTTAATCTTACCGTTGATAGTACCTTTCATAGTGGCCTAGAGGTAGACCCGAAGTTTTCAGTGGCTCAGTTGACGGACTATTTTTTTCCGAACGTGTTGTTAAGTGATGGGTCAATGATCGTCGGCTTGTTCGCTGAGCTGGGTAATTTGCTTGCAAACGTTTCATCACCAATCGAGGTGACATCATCAGTGCGTTATTGGGGAGCCAAAACACTTCCATTTTTATCACAATTTTTATATTAGTTATAAAGCTCGTTTGTGAGTGCTGGCTAATACAGGAGCATTCAGTTGGAAAGTGTGTCTAACAGTATAATTTGTAGTGACTTGGTCATGCAAAAATTTCTTCTGCCGTGTTGTTCGCCGCTCACATTTCGGCGTGGTGCATGAACAGACGTAGTGAACCTTGGAACTCTCGGAGGTAGGTGAAAGGGATTACGAAAAGTTTGGACACTTAATGCGAGTGACCTGTCTGTAATTGAGAGGAGACGCTGCACGATAAGGTGTTCTTGTCAGTTTCTATCCATATATTCTACAAAAATCGTTCAGCTGTAGCACTCTTTCGGTGCCTAGCTGTCATGCCGCCCGAAGGCTGGGATACTGCCAGGTCGCCCAAGCCTAGACAGGGGAAGTCGAGTGGCGGAGGTCGGATTCGAAACACGGACCTTCCGGTCAGTAAATTGCGCTCTAACCACTTGGGCCATCTCGTTCGCTGTTTGTAGCTGATACTGATTCACGTGTAGCGCTGACTCAAGATATCCTTTGAGTTGACTCATCCCTCTCAAAAAGAAAGTCCCCGCAAAGTATACATGAAAGCTACTGCAATTGACTTTAGACGTACACCTTAGCCTATGTTCCAAATGTGAAGTACAATTCCACTTTCTAATTAGATGGTTAGGGATCCGATCGCACCGATCATTAACAGCTAAGGGTGCGTTACATCATTGATCAACAGGCTAAACGATACTTCAGAGTCGAAGACTAAACATGCCAAGTGTAGAGACGAACTATGAGAACCGGGATTTATGTGGTTTTTGCGGCCAAAAGCAGCAACAACGAATGAGTCATTCAGACCTGGGAAACTCCTTCACCGAGTTTAGTTGTAATACTTGCGTCAGACCTAATTCAACTGTTGGGATGGGCAAAATACGCCACAGTCTCCAGTGAATCTCCAAATGCGAAGTTTCTGATCTACAATCGGCACTATCGCCAACGTCATCAGCAACGATGGAATATCATTGTTGAACATTCACGATTGACTACCGAGTTGTGAAAAAGTGAAGGTAGGGACCTAACACTAGACTACTAAAAATATTAAGGCATATCTACAATCCCAGAAATCCCAAATATCCGGATGGCTCAGTGGTTACAACCCCTATTTACTGGCCAGAAGGCCCGTGGTTCGAATCCGACCTCTGCATCTCGGCTTTCCTTGTCTAGGCTTGGGCGACCTGGCAGTATCCCAGCCTTCGGGCGGCATGACAGCTAGGCACCGAAAGAGTGCTACAGCTGAACGATTTTTGTAGAATATATGGATAGAAACTGACAAGAACACCTTATCGTGCAGCGTCTCCTCTCAATTACAGACAGGTCACTCGCATTAAGTGTCCAAACTTTTCGTAATCCCTTTCACCTACCTCCGAGAGTTCCAAGGTTCACTACGTCTGTTCATGCACCACGCCGAAATGTGAGCGGCGAACAACACGGCAGAAGAAATTTTTGCATGACCAAGTCACTACAAATTATACTGTTAGACACACTTTCCAACTGAATGCTCCTGTATTAGCCAGCACTCACAAACGAGCTTTATAACTAATATAAAAATTGTGATAAAAATGGAAGTGTTTTGGCTCCCCAATAACGCACTGATGATGTCACCTCGATTGGTGATGAAACGTTTGCAAGCAAATTACCCAGCTCAGCGAACAAGCCGACGATCATTGACCCATCACTTAACAACACGTTCGGAAAAAAATAGTCCGTCAACTGAGCCACTGAAAACTTCGGGTCTACCTCTAGGCCACTATGAAAGGTACTATCAACGGTAAGATTAAAATGGAACAGGAATGGTGGCACATGGTTTGATGATCGTCACATCGTCACCAGTGAAAGCATATACTGCTACAAATCCCATCAGGTTTCCCTATCGATGAAGTCCAACCGTCTGCGGATAGCCATAAACGCCCCCCCCCCTAACTAGTCGACTTGCGAAAAATGTTATAAACCAAAAGCAATATATAGAAGCTTAGTCTCCTAGTGATCAACTGTAGTTTCATCTTTTCTTAAAATTGGGAAAGAAATCGATTATTTCCAGGAAAGTGGAGCTTGTCGTTCGGACAACTTGTAAAACAAAAGGATTAATTCCTTCACATGCGTGTTTTCAGCATATCCCAGGAAGAGAAGTGTGATTAGATGAAGAAATAGGTTTTCACTGAATACCCAACACGCATGTACTCACCTATTCCACCTCCGGCGTGTGGTGGACAACCATAGCGGAATGCATCAATATAGGATTTTATTTTCTCGATTTCTGAAAAAGATTTCACGTATTTTAGTACGAAAAGTGGACGGGTGATGGATAATATCAACAACCTGCTTCTCAGCAAATCAGAAGAAAGCAGTACCACTGAATTTAACCCAAAACAAGCAAAAATCGTTTAGGCGACCCCGGATTCATTTTTGGTACAACTAGTATGCGCTTAGGCTTATCATTTAGGCTAAGCGTTAAATATGAAAACCAAGATAACACTCAACAGGATATTTCTAGTCCCGTAGTTTGCTATACAATTTATACTCGAAAAGGTGTGGTAAGTCAATCGGGTCAGACGTCGTGGATTTTCATTGTGTGAACTTATGTCACCGGCCATGTGTGTATCGAGGGTGTCAGTTGGAAAGATGAAACGACGCCTGAAAGAGAGTGTTATCAACAGTTTCATTGGCATAATTTTTCGGTTAATCCAGTGTGACTTGCACGAATCGAATTATGTAAACTAACCATGAAGTCAGTTGACTCAGTCACATGTCGGCGTACTATGGTGTGGCTCAGCGGAGGAACCAAATACAAGGTAACAAACAAAGTACAAACAGAATACAATACAATATAAATACAAAAATACAAAATACATTGTATGTTACAGTGCTGCTCGTGGCCGAACGGCGAAGTGTTCAAACTACTAGCTGGAAGGTCGAGAATCTACGGATTTTCATGGGATGCGCACTGATATCTTTTCAACACAGATCTGTTTAATTTACAGGAAGAAATCTCTATTGGCAACGTCGAATAATTAACAAACGGACACGGGTTACTGAGTAGACAAAATCAGAGTAAAACAACACAGCTACCGGCTGTCGATGTCGCTATATGAAGGTAACCCTCAGAAGAGATCACCCCTGCCTGGTTCCTGGAAGTTTCCAGTAAATTTCGGACTCCTCTCACACAGTGACTATATCATAACCCGAGCTCTGAAACACTCCATGTCACCTGCCTACTCAAAACGTAAAAATGCCAAGAATGCATATCGGATGCGCTACCGGCTATCCGGTTTCCCTGGGAGTGTAGCGCTAAGCGAAATAGCAACGTAAACTAAACGTATGTTTTGTGTTTAGTTTGTCTGCATGCATTGGAGAAAAAGCCGTTCAGGTGAACACCGACAGCCCGATTAAAAGTGTAAAATCGATATCATATTTTTTTTCACCCATTCAGATCGACTCCGCACCTTGTATTAGTAACCGAGATGGCCACAGTATTCAACCGTCATTCCCACTCTTTGTTGAGTAGCTGCAACGGGTAAACGGATGCCAGGAAAAAATATAATTAGGCAACCGGGAAGTGCTCGCCTCCATCACTTGAGTGAAAGTAGGCTGTATCAGCGTCAGTCCCCGGATTCCTAACTGATCGAAGGAAGTCAAAATAATGAACTTAGATTACAGAAGCCCATCGGTTTCAGTTGGTCTCATCGTCGTCCGGTACAATTTGTCAGACAAAACCATACGACTCTATACGATTCCCACCTACAGCGCCCATCTTCGTCCAACTACTCTTACAGTAAAAATCATAAGAGGTAAAAATCTCCCTCCCCACCAAATAGAGGGCCATTCATCGAGGGAGAGAGTGAACCACAACCAACAGGTCATCACTTTAGGAAAGTGACTAAACCGACAGTAAGGACGGGGAAGCAACGCAGTGCTCGATCTACGGAAGTGAAATGAAACACGCTACACATTGACTTTTCCTGCCACAATGATGCATCAACTGCAAAGCCCATGATCAGCATTCCAGGTTCGAAACAGGAATGAAAATAGATGAGCAAACAGACTGAAAAAATCAGTAAATAACTTTGCTAATCCAATGAAACCAATCCAATGGAACAGGTTGAACGATAAACAAACTAGCTCTGTCTAAGCTTGGACAACATGGCAGTATCCCAGCCCTCCTGCAACCCTCGGGTGGCATGGCAGTTAGGCACCGAAAGGGTGCTACAGCTGAACAATGCCAACGTATCCCACAAAAAGTCACAAAACAGGTTTGTCTAGTCAGAACCATCGAATCCAAGCTTCTCCCAATTACATTCAACACGGTTAAAACAGTGCGATACTGAGAGGACAGAAAATCAAGTAACAACAATAAACAACAATAAACGTATGCTCATGCTGATTTGAAAGTAAAGAAACCGCACACTTACCGACGCCATGATGCAGTGCTCGTTCAGTCAGCAGAGCTGGGTCATGAATACGTTGGGCACCTGACATAATCTCTTCCCCACGCATGTAAAAATCATACGAGTTGGAGAACTCCTGCGGAACAAATCGGCAGACGACAAAGGTGTTAACGTTCGTGTGCATAAGATGGGAGAAGCTATGTGAACGGTCTTCTCATCCAAAACACAATGTGTGTTTTCAGAAAGGCTACAAAAACATAACCCATGCATACTTCTTTCGAAGCAGCAGCTACCGTGGTGAGAAATTACAGCTGAGTAATGCAAACATTACAAAGGATAGCGGTAGTTCCTGAAGCTGAGGGGACACAGGATTGGGAAGTTCACCTTTTCAGTTGGGTGGGGCATGGTGTAGAAAGCCCGAATATCCAGAGGAAATTTGTCCAGTATGTAAAAATCCGTGCCGTACTTTTGTTTGATCAAGCGACCCAGGAACTTTTCGGCGGGCGTGGTCAAATCATCCAGATCCCCGAGGTCCCAGCCAGCTTCGCGAAGCATCTGGATGCCTTCCCTGTATTCCAAGCGCAGGCTAGATAGAAAAACGTTAAGTCAAGATAAGCGTAAGCTTTTCACCGAAAGCCTACAGTGAGGAAGGTAAAAGATAACGAGGGTGGTTATAGGAAGCTAGTATCCATCGTAATATGACTTCACTAGATGGGCGGGAGAAACTTGGACTAAAACCTCACAAAGTTGTCGAGTCGTTGGATCCATGTGTACACAGCTTACAAGCAAGACGGAATTTAAAATTTACGGAGGGTAGTGCTCCTCCATAATCCCGTTCTGAAGTTAGAAAGCAGAAATTAGGGGTTCATCTATTCGGGTTTTTCTAATTCATTGATGATTTTGAATTGGTAGAAGCTGACACACATTTTTGAGTAAGTACGATCAAACAAATTCGAGTCGGGTGACTCATGCGTTATATTCTACCGACCCGATAAGCGGAAGAGAGGAAATCGGTGCAGTTCTAACCAAAATACAATCTGACATGTTATGAATGTGTACTGTTAACTTGGCCAGGGTCAAATTAAATTTCCCAGCACACGTAGTGAGTAGAGTCAGCGTAAATCAGCCGCCTGATTCGGTCAACTGGGGAAGCACGAAAATCAAAGCCCCCCTACCACAGTCATCTTTGCAACAGAGTTGTAGTTTTACGCACACATTTTCCGTTCAATTAAGCCGAATTGCCAAGCTGAAGTTTGATCTTGTTCTTTTGCCCATCAAAAGTCGTATTCAAGTGAAATTGTTTCACACAGGTGTAGGTGAACAGGTAAATTTGTGCGCATTACTCAAAAGGTCTATCAAATCACGTCGACTGCCACGATCCCTTCTGTCCTTCTTGGGGCTCACCAGTTAGGCACAGTCTCTAGTTTCCGCTATGTGTGCTACTCAAACCCGTTTGTAGCTAAATGCACTAGCTTGCAAACCAATTTATACTTTAACAAACGACCCAACTAGATTCCAGCTGGATCTCTCGTGTGAAATGTCGTTCGACTATACAAAGATCGCCTTATGTTTCAGCTGGTACGACATTGGAGAAATCTCATTACACTTTCTTGACGGAATAAACCATCCATAAAGTTTCCAGAAAGTCTCTGACCGCCCATGGACGGTTTTTGCCATTCCTGGGGCTCACCAAGTATGCCCAGTCAAACTGATGTTTTGCTTGAATAAAAAATGGTGACCACTCCATATTCCCATTCGAGCAGTTCTCATCTTGCCCAGGAACAATTATTCTGGTGAGTCCACACCAACCAGTCACCATTCGAGCCGTTAGTTGAACAAATCACATTGCTCAGCTGTGTTCAAGTTCGTTCGCTGCGACGCTGTGGATCCCGTATCCAGAGCGCGCCGACGGAGTCGTGGTAACAAGCTTGCCTCCACGTCAAACGTCCGGGGGTTCAAATCTCGGCAAGGCCAACGATATGTATTGCCGATGAGCGGAAATTGGATCCAAACATTTCTTTGGTATCAACTCACCGGACTAACTGCGTTCGGACTGGATCGTGGACATTCAAATGCGAGTAACGGGAATGCAGATTTCAATCAGTAAACTTGTTTTCGATTCAACGGCCCATCATATTGAAACGTACCTATGGTAAGGCATGTTTATTAAGCTGTGCTTCTGCCATGATAAACAGCATAGGTCTTCTCGACAGAACACTACTCATAAGTTTTATGAAAAGTTTAAGTCAGTCCACGACCGGCATCATCCCCCTTGGGGTCCATCGGGTAGGCATGGTCCCAGAGTTTCCACTGATTTTATTCTTCCACTTGAATAGCAAACTGTACGTGATGAAGTACAGCTATTTGCAACCTACAGTGATGTTAACAAAATATTCGAATGAGTCTCTCGGTCGGGAAATTCTTCAAGAAGTGCAAAATAAGTAGTCGATTGTCGCAGAGTTTTCAGCGATCTTATGATTGGGACGCATTGTCATGGAAACACACTGCGATATCTAAAGTGTCATGCCAAGCGAAACGAAGAGGCCTCTGTGCAGCATGATCAGTTGAAGAATATCCAAAATGAGGATTTCAAATGAGTGTACTTCATCAATTACAGGTTATTTCTAGGTAAGGCTGCCGTCCACGATTGATTGAATGCCAGCTGAAACTTATGGTTCATTCCGACAGCAATATGTGACTGAAAACTTCTCTTGTACGAGTGGGTAAGACAATCTTCTTATGGAATAATGGATTAACTTGAGTTTGGGATCCAAATGCCCGTGTATCAGCCGAATAGTCGTTTAACCAAAATCTAACGGAGAACGATCATTCTGGCGACATAGTCATTAAAAAGGAATCAAGACAGTCAAGTCTGAAGCAAAGAGAAAGAAATAATGTAACATGGTGTACAACTTACGTCGGCTCCAGAAACTGGAATGGTTCTGACTTGTATTGTTTACGAATAGTGTCAATTTCCGACGCAAATCTAGCAAGACAGAAATAAAACGTCAATGAGCGTGCGCAAAGCTATTGAAGAGGTCACAAAATCCACAGCCCAAACTCATGAAGGTTCGTGGTTCGAACCCAACCTCTACACCTCGAGTTCCCTAGTCTAGGCTTGGGAGACCTGACAGTATCCCAGCCCTTGTGCTTCCTTCTGGTAGCATGGCAGTTAGCACCGGAAAGGTGCTACAGTTGAGTGATGATTGATCGTCTACTCATGAAGCAGTGGATGTAGAAGTTTTCGACCACAGGTTTTAGGCTGGACTACACACAGAAAACGCGAAATTGCAGACATGGAGGAAAACCGGTAGAGAACCAAGGCTGGTGGGAGAGTTGTAAACTGCTATCGTTGTACGTACAATCGTCCATTAAGAGGGCACGAACAATTGCGGTGTTTTCATTATCTTACACGACACAAATGAATCTGATCTCCTAAAAAACCTTATTAAGAGTGTTTGTGAGATTGGGTGAAAAACGAAGGTTAGAAAGGACGGGCAGAAGTAAAAAACTACACAGTAGATCACCGAGCGAAGGAAAAGATCGCTCCTCTTGCTGGGAAAATCAAGCGATAGGTCATGATTGACAAGAAACATTGCTCTCAACTCTCTGGGGAAATGCCATCTCTTAAAAGGAGTCTCTTGATGCCACTACATATCATTACACAGCAGTCAATTTATTCGCTGAATTGTGTTCAGTAATAATTTAAAACGTCCAGATAGACGCGACAAGAGGCATATATGCAGGTGTTTGACGCTTAGTGTTATAGCCAAGGTGGTGTGATCCAAAATGAATCTAGCAAGATGGTGCAGCTAGTCCACAGACGATTACGCTTTAGTGTCAAATTATATCACACCACTCAGATTATAAAACAGCTACCTTGGATCGTAACAGGTTCCTCACTGGATGAAATCGATAGGCTCATTGAATTATCGACCTATGATGCACTCAAGCATATCGTCAAGGTCTAGAAAAGCCGTACTCAGACTAGGATATAAACGAATGGCCTTTCACACAACAATGGAATTCAATTAGCAAGCATCTCTGAAATGCAGACGAACTACATTAGAAGAACATGACAGCACAGTCACGTTTATGCCACGGGAGCTGATCCTAAACAAAAGTGTAGCCGTTCAGAGCCAAATTTTCCTTCGACTGACCAGAGACAGCCACCTTGGAAAACCACCTGGGTTCACGGTTTCGACGTATATTTGCCAGAAGGAAGGGGTAGTTTGCCAAGGTTTCCAAACAAACAGATTAAATCAAGAAATGTGCGTCTCATTATTTACTTGTCCTCTGTGGGAAGGTTGAGGAGGAACAGACGCTCCATCGACCGTTTAGCTGCGGCACATTTTAGTTACATAGTGGTCACGAAACCTGACGAGACCATGGGGGTCGGCATATAGTCTAAACGGAAGTAATCAAGATGCCAGGGTTGGACACAAACCATAGACTTTCAAGTAGTCTCATACATAAACCATTGAACCGTCTCGAACTCGTCGAACTTAATAGATCAACATATTAAGAAAATGTCAAAATAGGTTGTGATGGACCCAAAATGAATTCAAACGACAGTTTGTGCGGCCTAAGCTGACATAGGGAACAGCAGAGAAGTATTTTACCAGCAGACACTGATGGATAGTGTCCGGCGGTGATCCACCGTATCAGTCACCCTGGCCTACCTGGTTCCTTGTTAGGAGGTCTAGATACCTAGAACTCCACAGGTGCTGTTGTTTTTAGGCGACCTACATCAAACAGATCTTGGTGAGCTTTCTTCATCCAGTGGACAATCAAGCTGAATCTGTACGAGTATACAACATTGGCCAACGTAAAACACGCATATCCGAAATTCCAATGGGGCTTACTCTCGTTGCAGTCCTTTGAACATGTTCACAAACATGTCGGCAATGAGATCAACCACCTCGTGATAATGGTTTTTAAATGCCATTTCAATATCCATACCAACAAATTCGGTCAAATGACGATGAGTGTTGGAATCTTCAGCGCGGAACACAGCACCAACTGTGAAGACCTGAAAGCCACAATGAGACGTAACAGTGGTGAACTGAAACCGTAACGGGTTGGCATTAAATTATACGCGCCATATTGAAATTGTGAATAAAAGTGATTGAAGCTATAAGCATCTCCACCACATGCTAGTGATTCTGTAGAAAGTAGCAAATAACTGCACATGAGTTGACCACTATGTCATGAAAGAGCAAAGGCTAGTGAACAATAACAAGAAAGTTACAAACAAGTATCGAACACGAGTTAATCGCCTGAACACAGATCATCTACCACACAAAGCTGCGGGTGAGAATCGAGTAGTGGTTTCTCAGAAGATCCAGCTTTTTCGTACTTCGGGTGTACAGAGTACTTGGTATCAAACACACAAACACACATGTACACACACTGACCGGTCCCTGCACACAAACGAACCGGAAAAAAACACCGGCGGCCAGGTTAACCCGTTGGTGCACAGTTGCCTTGTACAACGATTCAACCAGTGAAAATATTAGTTACATAGTGGTCACGAAACCTGACGAGACCATGGGGGTCGGCATATAGTCTAAACGGAAGTAATCAAGATGCCAGGGTTGGACACAAACCATAGACTTTCAAGTAGTCTCATACATAAACCATTGAACCGTCTCGAACTCGTCGAACTTAATAGATCAACATATTAAGAAAATGTCAAAATAGGTTGTGATGGACCCAAAATGAATTCAAACGACAGTTTGTGCGGCCTAAGCTGACATAGGGAACAGCAGAGAAGTATTTTACCAGCAGACACTGATGGATAGTGTCCGGCGGTGATCCACCGTATCAGTCACCCTGGCCTACCTGGTTCCTTGTTAGGAGGTCTAGATACCTAGAACTCCACAGGTGCTGTTGTTTTTAGGCGACCTACATCAAACAGATCTTGGTGAGCTTTCTTCATCCAGTGGACAATCAAGCTGAATCTGTACGAGTATACAACATTGGCCAACGTAAAACACGCATATCCGAAATTCCAATGGGGCTTACTCTCGTTGCAGTCCTTTGAACATGTTCACAAACATGTCGGCAATGAGATCAACCACCTCGTGATAATGGTTTTTAAATGCCATTTCAATATCCATACCAACAAATTCGGTCAAATGACGATGAGTGTTGGAATCTTCAGCGCGGAACACAGCACCAACTGTGAAGACCTGAAAGCCACAATGAGACGTAACAGTGGTGAACTGAAACCGTAACGGGTTGGCATTAAATTATACGCGCCATATTGAAATTGTGAATAAAAGTGATTGAAGCTATAAGCATCTCCACCACATGCTAGTGATTCTGTAGAAAGTAGCAAATAACTGCACATGAGTTGACCACTATGTCATGAAAGAGCAAAGGCTAGTGAACAATAACAAGAAAGTTACAAACAAGTATCGAACACGAGTTAATCGCCTGAACACAGATCATCTACCACACAAAGCTGCGGGTGAGAATCGAGTAGTGGTTTCTCAGAAGATCCAGCTTTTTCGTACTTCGGGTGTACAGAGTACTTGGTATCAAACACACAAACACACATGTACACACACTGACCGGTCCCTGCACACAAACGAACCGGAAAAAAACACCGGCGGCCAGGTTAACCCGTTGGTGCACAGTTGCCTTGTACAACGATTCAACCAGTGAAAATAAGTCAGAAGAATTAGAGAAATACACTCAGTTGCAAACAAATTTGGTTTTGCGGGAGACTCATCTGGAACCCAACTGAATCTCTCGTTTGTGATGTTTCTAAGCAACTGAATGTGCTGCACCAGGCCGGCTCGTGTTTCAGTTGGTACGATATTCGAGATATCGCGATACGTGTATGTACGTAATGCGCTACTCATAAGGTTGCTGAAAATTCTTCGACAGCCCACGACCGGTTCCCCCGTCTTGGAGCTCATGAGGTAGGCGTAGTCTTCGGGTTTCTGTCAATATTGTGTTCTACTTGAAACCAGATTGCAAGAAATTAGCAAAATCCACTCATGTGTAAAAAAACAATTTGGTTTCGCGAAAGACCCACCTAGAACCCAGTTGAATCCCTCGTCTATAGTGTTTCTATGAATCCCTCGCAAAACCAAATTTATTTGCAAATGAGTGTATTTCGTACAGTTTAGGTTCAAGTAGAACATAAGGTTGATGGAAACTCGGGGACTGTGCCTACCTGATGAGCTCTAAGAAGGGCGAAACCGGTCGTGGGCTGTCGAAGAATTTTCAGCAATCTAATGAGTAGTAGTATAAATCAGAAGATTTTTTTATTACATTTAAGCGACCACACCGCAGTTTTTTTCGTAAGACAGTGCTTTTAACCCGTCCATGGTAACTTCAGAGTACCAGTGTTGACGCTTGTGTACTCCCAGCAAGGACTACGTCACCTCAGGCTGAAAGAACTTTACATTGAATAGAAAGGGTAACAAGGGAAAACAACGCGCAGACTGCTAGAACTCCAAAATCGTACCTGAAAACTACCTGAATGAAGCAACAGCAATGGAAGGGAACGAAGTGGCGAAATCCCATAGAAATACCGGTCGCACGAGACTTCCCATAAAAATGCTTGCTTTGAGTTCACGCTTCACAACGTTTTATATGGAAGGCTCAAGTAGATATGTGAGAATATGACGTAGGTTGCCGGTCTCCGGAGCGCTCCTCAAAAATACACTTTTCGCTCCAACAGGTGAGCGCAAAGGAAAACTGTCAAGTGACCTGTTACCTCCTGTAGGTATCACGACCACACGCCATCAAACTGCACTTATGCAGCTGACTACTCGCAAACAGACATCCTGTTCATTCCAAACAACCATAAAACAGAAGTAAGGAAAGGAACCCCCGGGAATCCAAAACAGCGCAATAAATACTGTTTCCGACAGTCAAAGGTGAGACATGAACAACAAGAGAGTCAATGTCAATCTTTATTTGACACTACATTAACGACCCCGGGACAGTGGCCTGACAAATTTACGATTGGTTCGAGTCAACAGAGGTTGAAAGCAGCCAATAAAGCACTGAGCTTTCGAGCTCAGTGACTCACTGGCTTTGATTGTGATTTGAAGATATACCTACGGAAATATCCCGCCGCCAAGATACAACAGGTCAGATTGCTGATGCACTGGCTTAGTAAGACAAATTACCACCTGGGAGAGATGCAGAACGCGTACATCAACCAGCTACGTCTTATGTCCTATTGCGCTTCTTCCAGCTAAGTGTTTTCAGGAGACATCACGGGAATAACCACCCAGTTGTGAGCGATAAGTCAACAAGATATTTACACCCCAATATTTCCCATTTCGATGATGAGATTTGGTTATTTTCAACAGAGATTTCGTCTTGTCAGTGATGCCACTATGCTGAAAAGTCGAGAAAGAGCTCTTAACGTGGAATGACAAAATGAACGTACGCGTCCAAAATCAGCAGCGATGGCCATCTGTTTGTACAGCTGAGGAGATTGCGCCAAGTAGGCGCTACCAGAGAAGTAAGAAACCTTGAAAACATTGGCTCCACCTTCGGACGCGGCCGATATCATTTTGGGTGTCTGTATGTTGACGAAACCGGCCTTGGTTAGGTAGTCCATGAAAAATCGAACACAGCCGGCCTCCACTCGATAGATTGCTTGATTCACTGGCGTGCGTAGTTCAATGTATCGGTTGTCCAATCGTGTGTCTTGATGGACCCGACTCAGGACCTGGGAAAAGCAAGGGAAAGGTGAGGGGTGGATGAATGGTATTCGTATCAGTAAATATGGCTCAAGCTAACGGTCTTCGTAGTAATAATGGAAAAAATGATTAAAAAAGCGCATGTATGGGGTCCAATGTTTTGTCATTTTGAAAAGTTGACAGGATGCAACCAAGAATATACCAGCTGCCTGTGTTTCAACCCATTTTATTGTTGTCTGCATTCTGTCATGTAGCTTTCTTCTATGTGCTCATCACGTGAGACAAAAGACCCAACAAAAGGAAGAATTGCAGCCAGATTATCCAAAAAAATCAAAAGAAAATCGTAACCTTCAAACAAGCGAGGGGCTGCTCTCCCGTTGAGTTACTCGGCGCACAGCACGCTAAAGATACTGGTGCGTGCGACTTTAGTGTGTAGTTTAAAATTTTCACTCACTGAGAAATTGATTTTATTTCCTAACACAACTTGCTTCCACACGTGGCGAACTTTGTGAGCTAACCACGATGTATTAATTGGTAAATGATTACCTTCTTTGGGCTTGCTAGTCATATGGAATAACTTTCTGAATTTAAGGATCCATCTAGATTCGTCGTGTTGACCTTGGGTATATTTCATTCCCAGCGCTTCGGGGTTGAACAAGTGGAACCCGGCATTAGGCTTCAGTTCTGGGGACCATGGCTGTGTTCGCGTACACGACGGCGGATATCAGCTGGATATCGAATGGCTAAGTAAGTCCTGTCTGAGTAATGGCGCGTTTGAGAAAGCTGCTCGGGTGAAAGCAATGGACGTATGCGGTGGTTCAACAAGCGAGGATAACACTGTGACTCAAACACCTTATACCAGATACGTTTTGCTCACCCTGGGGTGGCACTGGTTTCATCAATCAGAACAAATAACTTAACGTTTTCTGCGCAAAAGTTGCAGCTGTACGGAACCAAAATACAAGCCATTGCCTCGAGAAAGTTTTGGAAACCTGGTTAAGTGGGGCGACTGAATTAAGAGGATGGTGGAGCCTTAAAGATGGAGAGCCAAACAGAAGGATATCTGCCTAACAGCGAGTTGAGTTTATTAGATACCGGTTGGGTCTTCGCCGTTTGTGTGGGTTAATGGATATTAAGACCGATAGGTCAGATAGAGACGTGTAAGGAAATTAAGCCGAGCCAGATGCTTGATTCTTCTAGTCCGAAACACTTCGGTTCAAGGCTCCTCTTGAATATTATTAATGAACATTTTTGGTTGCGTCTGTTAAGTCTGGTTCAATGGCGACTGAGCTGGGGGTACGCGTATAAATTTCGGTTCAGCTTAGCGAACAACAGGACCTCCATATCCAGCTAAAGTGTGCAAGGAGGAAGCCGAACATGGTGTATTGTCCAGATATGATTGCCGAGATTTCTGCATTACGTAGAAGACAACCCTCTTGTGATAAAACGCGATATGGCCAAGGATTTCATGAAGCATCTTATTAACTTGGGTTATCACGTTATACTACCTCTACTTTTATTTCATTTTCACTCAAGTTAGAGCTCCGTATACAGAAGAGATCGACGGGCCGGCAACCGAAATTGAGGTGAAAAACAGACTCCAATAAAACGAACAACCCGGCGACTTTGAAGTGGCAACTGAGATGCGTGTTGGCCCTAATATCAACACGCAACCACAAGTGTGGATTTGCACAACAATCGTTCCACGCAATGAAGGAAGATCTGCATTGTTTTGATTGGTGTCGAACACAACAAATATTAGAGAAGCGTCCTGTAAGGAATAAAATTAGTGCAATTGAAGTGTCTCTCAGTTGAAAGAACAGGAGACTGTACAAGGAATTATGCAAGACAAACAACCAGCGAATCGCACATCAGTATTGATAAGTACAGTAAAGGGTAAACCAACCCAGGAATTCAGATGCACGTAACACGCAGTGGCTAAAACTTACCGAAGGCGCAACTTGTAACAGACACATGACATCGAAAATATTTTGAAAAGGCGCGAACTACAAATCGCCTCATAGCGCTTTGAGTTCAAGGCCGTAAGAATCTCTAAATATTCCAGTACGCTGAGAATCAGCAAGAGCATCATAGTCGCGGAAAATAACACACCAGCAAAGAACACTGGTGCCTGACACCCTGACACGCGCAGAATAAGGCATATGCGGTTGGTGAACGCATGGAGGAGTTTTAGACCAGCCGTGACGATACTGGTCAAGAGTCATCACCGTCAGAAAGTGCAACATCAGTGTAGGCACTCTACACTGCCGCCGTGACGATACTGGTCAAGAGTCATCACCGTCAGAAAGTGCAACATCAGTGTAGGCACTGATGCTACACTGCCGTACAACCACAAGTAGTTGAGCATAATTAAAGTCGTGAAGTGGAAAAGGGACAAGTGAATGAAGGGGAGATCTGGTGCCAGCCTACCGCAATCATTCTGATGTGCCTGAGCTTCCAAACACCCAATCAATCTGGAGAGGTAATCGATATTAAATAGTCGTCAATTCTATCCTGGTGCAGGGGAAGGCTCATATGGTCGCAAATACTGGTGATTAACCTCCGTAGACGAAAGGCTATCTACAACGGACATGGCACCTAATGTCACCTCCCTGGGCTTCTGATGCACCTTCTGGTGCTCAATAACTACGTGAAAAGGCGTCCTGCCAGCCCCCATTTCTGGATAAATCTAACGTTGATTCCCGTCAGCTGCTTGCGTGAGATTCATTGCAATATGCAACAAAAAACAAATTAAGCATCATCTTGATCATGCAGTTCATAATGGTTTATTAAAGACAAAATAAACTCACATGTCAGGCTTAAATTAACATTCGACAAATATGACATCCATCGTGGGAGAGAATGCCCTGTGTGTGTGGGGGGGGGGGGTAACGTCCCACCAGATACGCACACGTCTTCGCTAAAGAGACAGCCCAGGCACGACCAGTTTAGTTTATTTGGACACGGGAGGAAACATACATTGCAGCCGAATTAGGACGGAAAGTTGCTGGGCAGAACAGTCTTCGTAGTCAACTGGTTCACGTAACCTAATCAATGAGGTCCACCTAAGCCGTCTTCAGAGGCTTGTCGTTTATGGCTTTATGTGGCGATAACTGCACTTCCAGGCACATTAGGACCAGAACTCACTTTTGCGTCATAGATTTCTGGCACCAGGAACCGGTGGATGGATGACCTATTAACAAACCTCTAAGAAGAATTTCAGTGGGACGCAAAGATATTTTTTAAAAATCGTTCAGCTGTGATACCCTTTCGGTGCCTAGCCGCCATCCCACCCGGAGGAAGCATGAGGGCTGGGATACTGCCATGGTGCCCAAGCCTAGACAGGAGAAGTCGAGAGTCAGAGGTCGGGTTCGAACAACGGACCTTCCGCGCCCTAACTACTGAACAATCTCGCCCCCCCCCGCGCCCCCAAAGGACGATATTACTCATTATCCAGGGCATCAAGCCTGGGCCTTGCTGATTCATTTGAAGGCCCAGGTAATCAGGTCAGGGAAGAAAGTCTAGTTGTTGTACCCCGCGTTAGGAACTGTACACAAGGCTGTGTGGTTAGTTGGTTTTCCGGGAAACCTTGCATGAAGCAAAGGGCTTGCTGGCCTGACTAGCCCGGCACTAGCTAGTCTGACCAACTTGACGTCCGTGCACATTAGAGGTGCGCCTATAAAAAACGTGTAAGACAGCGTGGAGTAGGCGAAATAAGAAATCTGTGGTTCACCATTTGCTGTTTCGGCTGCACCAGTTTTTCAGAGGAAGAACGGGTAAGAAATAAGTCCACGCAGTAACTGCTTTTTCTCTTTTCATTGCATTGTCCAGGTAGATCAGAAGAGCGTTTCACTTGTATTTTCACTTATACTGACTTTGAAAACAACGTGAAGCATGCGGAAGGGTCCCAACAGCTGGGCGCTGGGTGCGAAATTCAGTGCGTTGCTCCCCAGATGAAGGCAATGGTTGCTTTCATGAACTCATTTAGGTTTATCAAGACAGTCCTCATAAATTACCATAAAGACACAGAAGTTACTTGGGAGAAGTGCACAGATACGACGGTACGATTAGAGCTCCAAACACCTTCGCTTTGTACGTGGTATCACTGCCGTCGTTTGATCTTCTTGACCTAGTTATATTAGTAGAAAGAGGGTGCTCAACAATCACTAGCAATTCATAGAATTTTCGTTACTGACAAACAAAAACGGCGTGTCTGCTGTTGGAACTGTCATACGGTATATCCCCGTGACAGTCCAGTGGTTAGGGTGCGAACTTATTGATCAGAAGGTTCATGGTTCGAACCCAACCCCGATATCTCGACTGTTCCCGTCTATGTCTGAGTAACCTAGCAATATCTCAGTCCTCGTGATTCCTTCGGATGGCACGGCAGCTGGTCACGGTGTTACATACGAACGAATTATTTTTATATCACCTGAGAAAATGTGCGAAGTTACAAGAATCGAACCCAGAAGTGCGTCCAGCTTTCCTGACAAAAGTGTCTTCATTTGAGTAACGATGGCACCCTGAAGTTATAAAAAATGTATGGTATGTGAATCACGTACTGGTATAGTGTAGTGTTGTTCAGGGCAATACAGCCTTGCCATTTGCTCCCAAACAAAACTGACAAAACTCCACCTAACAGGACCAGAAATCTTACTGATCGATAGTTCTGTGCGAAGTCCTAACAATACGTACATAGGATAGTAGTGACAGGAAGAAAAGCAATGTAGCTGATAAATTTAAAATTCAGACATATGTGCGTGTACTTTATTGAAAACAACTAGGAATTAGACGCGTTAACATAATGCGAACCCAGAGAGAACAAACGAGATTTTCGCCCAAAAAGACGAACGCAGAAAGTACCTCTGTACCTCAAAATGAGATGTGTCCAACTAGTCGATTAGGGATGAAAGGGTTCACATTAAGGTCCTCGGCTCCAGTTAATCCACAGGAATGGCCGGTATCGATGCAATAATCCAGACTAAAATTATGAGTAGTAAAAAGCATTTTCGGGACCGACCACTCCTATTCGTGACGCCATCAGGCTTTTTTGAAGATCGTGAAACAGTAGGACCAACATGAACCAATGTCAATGGTCATATATCCGACTGGTTCCGATGTACATCCTAAACCTTGAAAATTATAAATAGTCAAACGCTCTTGATGTCCAAGCGTGACTGTTAGATATAGACCCTTCACACTGTTAGCATAACGTTGAATTGGGGTTCCCTCCCAGGACAATCTCATCCGAAATGTGCCTCAGGTTTGGCAAACCAGTGAAAAGCTGCATGCGAAAATTTTCTCGGTTCGAAGTCATTCGCGATTCTGAATCACTGGAGATTGATTAATCGGCTCATAATTCGAGCGTACATTGGTTTAATTCGGTCAGCAAATGATACCGTTTTGGGCGACTAGGCAGGGGTCAGGAGAAATAGCCATGAAGATGGCTTAACCATAAGGATAAGGCCTTTCTCTGCCGAAAGGTCGGAAATACTTGTGGATAAAAATGTTCTGGTAAACGTCATCTTTTGTTCCTGTCGCTACCTGGTGGCAGGCAGCAGTCTTAGTTTACAGTCGATGCCAAAGATGTTTTCAGCGAAAATTAAACCACAATTTACCGTCTCATCATCCTCCGGACGCATAGCATCCTCAATTTGCAATGGGAGCGTTGGGAGTGCTGCACTGACCACGTAAACTCGCTCACAATGAATTTCGATCGTATCCGGATTACATCCTTCAATAAGGACTGGACTTTTCTTCACACATCCGTAGACGTCAATGATGGATTCCTTTGGTATGCTGCGGTGGGGCAGAAAAATGAATAGTCTAAGCGAACTGATACTTAGAAGCAACGGTTGTGGAGAGGCAACAAGAAGGAAGATTCTATACTGAGGAAACAGACTGGAATTAAGGTTGAACGTAAGCATCATTGAGTTCCTTCGTTATATAACCGTGGCTCTTTCTGTACACTTTGCTACAAAACGATTCGTGAGAATTACGAAGGTTGAGATACTCCAAGGTGGTTTAGATTTAGAAGAACGTAACAGATTATTCAGAGGCGGAATCTTAAAACTCATCCCGGAAGCGATCCCGAACGTCCGGAATTAAAGCTGCCATCTTGACGTGGAGGGCAAAGATGAGTGTCACAATGATTCGGCGGACCATACCGGCTGAAACTTCGTTCCGAAAGGTGTACCTATGCCAGGTAGGCCAAAGGGGAGCAGTCCAACCAACAATTGAGAGACCCCCCCAATGCAAGGCTGTGCAACGAGGCTCCCTGGGGGTATGTGAGTGTGAAGGCAGTAAGGTGTTTTCACCGGGCGAAAGGCATCTCCATAGACACGGAAGCAGCGATCCAAACTTTCCCCAGGTAAGAAGAGGTCGGCCCTAAAAACTGCACACTCCAAACGCCAAACGGTTGACGTAACCACTTGCGACCTAAATTCTTATAAAACCAAAGAGTCTGGTGATGCCCAAAAGGCACCTGCTCTGTGCAGCTGCATCAGGAGTGAGACAGCAATGCCTTACTTCCTGCATCCTCGGGTTAGGCCGCCACCCTGCAGCCAAGTAAGACTATTGAGTCATTCACTCCGAAAAGGGTCACCCAGTCCACCTGTCACCTGTCCACGGACGTCCCACCCGCTGCCCCCCCCCCCCCACCCCTTCCCCCCCCCCCCCCCAACCCACCCCCCCCCCCCC